ATTATATTTTTTCCTTTCTTTTTAACAGCTAGATGGACATACCAAATGTCAAATCCTTGCTACATAAGCATGAGATGCCCGTATTTCGCCACCCGAGGTAGTCCCCAAACGGCACTTAATGGCAATTAGCGGCAATTAACAGGAGTGAAAGTAAGGGCTAAATCGTTTCGAATGTAGAGTTCAGAAGCTTATATGTATCTATTAATGTCTAAGAACTTAATAGTGATTTTGAAGTTAGTTTAAGGACTTAATTTATGATTTTACCTAAATTGGTAATGTTAACCACCCACTAAAATAAAGGTTTACAATGATATTATTTACAAATTATGGGACCTAAACATAAAAATAGATAGTTAAAATGGTCAAACTTTATTAATTGATTTAACTATAAAAGTTTAGGAAGAAATTTATAGTTATTGTTAATAATTTAAATAATTTTATAATAATTTTTTATTAACTAAATCTCGCAATTCATAATTACCTAAATGTGCCTTTGCCCATTCAAACTTGTTCTCTATAGGTCCATCGGCAATGATATCGATCCAATGATAGAATCTCATTATTGGATGCCAATTCTTAATATTTTAGTTAAAAGATTTATTTATTATATTTATATTATTATTTAATTAATTTTTAAATAAAAAATAAAAAATTAATATTTTTAAATAAAAAAACCATAAATTAATATTTTTATTTACCTCTTTTGTCTTGAAACCTTTATATATGGCTTCACGTGTTTGTGTTTTCATTGGTTCTTTATGATTGATTTTCCCAATGCATTATTGTGGAGCGGATGTCATAATTGTCATCCCCTCAAAAAAATACAAACGAGCATAATAGAAAGTTAAAACCTTTATACGTGGATTCATGTGATTGAGCTGGTTCTTATGAGTGGTTTTTTCGGTGCATTGATTTTACCTTTATATATTTTTATTATAAATTTTGACATTTTAATTATCGTGACTTTTTGATTTTTTTTTAATTTCAAATTTAAATTAGTGTTTTTAGGCTATGTCTTTTGTTTTTAACAATTTTATAAGAAGTTGAATTTAAACTGTTACCCAAAGGAAAGTAAATGCACTTTAATATAGCCTAACGTTATTGAACCCGAAAGTTAAAAGTGCTTTTAGACTATGTCTTTAGTATACTTTTTGTTATAAATATATATAAAAAAATAAAACATTAATATTAATTTTATT